CGGGGTGGGGTGGGGGGCCGGGGTGGGAGGGGAGGAGGGCCAGAAGCAGGGGGCTTTGCAGGGGGGACGGGACAGATGCTCGGGTCTCAGGGTCTCCGGGACGGGAGAGGTGTCTACTCCACGAGAGCAGAGCATTCTGGGAGCCGGGACTCCTCGGTTCCCTGCAGTGTCCCCTCTAAGCTGAGTTAGTGTGAGCTAGCTCACAGGTTTTTAGCCTCCGGCTCACAGATTTTTGTCTTAGCTCAGGAAGGAGGGCTCCAGAGCAGTGTTCCCTCTAAGCTGAGTTAGTGTGAGCTAGCTCACAGGTTTTTAGCCTCCGGCTCACAGATTTTTGTCTTAGCTCAGGAAGGACAGCTCCAGAGCAGTGTTCCCTCTAAGCTGAGTTAGTGTGAGCTAGCTCACAGGTTTTTAGCCTCCGGCTCACACATTTTTCTCTCAGCTCAGGAAGGAGGGCTCCAGAGCAAAGTAATTTATGCAGTAGCCAAATCGCTCGCTCACAACTTTAATGCCCGTAGCTCACAAGGTAGAATTTTGCTCACAAGACTCCACATCTTAGAGGGAACATTGCTCCAGAGCAAGCTAATTTATGCAGTAGTCAAATGGCTCGCTCACCACTTTAATGCCAGTAGCTCACAAAGTAGCATTTTTGCTCACAAGGCTCTGCAGCTTAGAGGGAACACTGGTTCCCTGGGAAGAGGGAGGAGCCGGGGGGACTAAACAGGCAGTTCGGACAGTGAGGGTTCTTGGTTCCTGAAGGAGAGGATGTGGGTCTCGGGGCTGGTTCTCTGTGTGTGTGCCAAAGTCAGGACTTCTGGGTAGGCGGGTCTTCGGCTCTGTCCATCTTCGAAATCCTCTGGATCTGGGGAGCCGGCACCGGCCAGGCCTGGTACACCTGGGGGCTTCCTCAGATGGCCTCATGACTGCCAAGGAAGCAGGAAGTGGCAGGCAGAGGGCCGGAGGAAAGGGGAGCGGCGGAATCACACCGCTCCTGTCCCCTTTCCTCCCTGCCTGGAGATTCATCCCACCCAGGGTACAAATCCCCCCCCCCATGAGGCATCTCGCATAGCTTGCATCTTGCCCACCCTGCCCCTCCTCCGGATCGTGCATGCCTGGTGCGAAATGCATTGAAGCAGACAGGGGTCATTTCATAGAAAAAGAGGTGCAGGAGCTCATTAGCATAACTCATTAGCATAACTCATTTGCATAGGCCACACCCCCTGACATCACTGGAAGTGTGTCAGAAGGCAACACCCACCGCTCAGGCTCCACTGGTCTGCTATTTTGGATTGCTAGCTATTGGGGGGGGGACGTGCAGATCTGTCCTCGCAGAGGAGGGAGAGCTTGTACCTGAAGGTGGGCTGGGGGGGGGTCATCTGGAACTTACTGGGCTGCTTCTTGCTGCTTGTGACCCGACTGAGGGCTGCTGGGAGCAGGGGGCGGGGCTTGTTGCATGTGCCCACCCCCTGGGCTCCTTACTGCTGGAGCTCCGCTCCTGTGCGTTCCTGCAGGAAATGACCCCTGGAAGCAGATCAGGAAACAGGCCGAACACTTATCACGAAGAACAAGGAGGGGCTTGGGAGTGGGAGCCCCGGCTGGGCAGCTACCTCCTCCGCACTCCTTGCAGGGCCGTTGTGAAAGCAAACAAGAGCGGAAATATATTTGGGGGGAATGTTAGTCAGGCCAAGTTTCTCCTCTGAAATGTTGCTTTGAGAAGTTAAATTTACTTTTAAAGGTAAAGGTTTCTCTTGCTTGAAAGCCAGTCAAATCCATCTCTAGGGGACGGGGCTCATCTCCGTTTCTGAGCCAGCGCTGTCCGAAGACGTTTCCGTGGTCATGTGGCCAGCATGACTAGACGCCGAGGCGCACAGAACGCTGTTACCTTCCCACCAAAGTGGTACCTATTCATCTACTTGCAATCTCTTGCTTTCGAACTGCCAGGTGGGCAGGAGCTGGGGCCAGAGACGGGAGCCTCACTCCGTCACGTGGCGTTCGGGTCTCGAACTGCCGAACTACAGACCTTCCAGTCTGCAGCTGAGCGTCTTAACCTCTGAGCCACCATGGCCCAATTTACTTTTGGGACCATTTTAATTTTTTGTTTAAAGTCACATTCTAGTTTAGTAGCACCTTAGAAACCAGCAAGATTTTCAGGGCTTGAGCTTTTTGATATCTCGAACGTCTTCTCGGTCTCTCCAGTACTACTGGACTCCAGTTCTAGATCAGCGCGCCTGTCCTCGGCGACTTTGTCTGAAGTGTCTTTAAATTTCATTCTTTATCAGTGATTTTTAAATATATATATTTTCATTACTAGATCTGAAACGTTTGCAGCTCAGGGGTTTGGTTTTTAAATCTGAAAACATTTCCCCTAGTTTCGAAATTTGGGAAGTCTTTTTTAGCTCAGTAATAAAAACAGTTGGAAAAGGAGTATTTTAGACTGCGTTGAGCTCTCGGGGGCAGGGTGGGAAAGAAACGGGAAAGCCTCTTTGCTTAATGTCATTGATTTGGGGGGAGGGGGGGTCGCTGATGTTTGCCCAGTTTGGGTGGGGTGGGGAGGGGGTGGGATCAGGAGATATCCCCTTTCCGTGCAAAGGATATCACAGCTTTTGGAGGGGGGTTGGTTGGTTGGAAGCTACGCCCTGAAAAGCGACCTTTGATGGTCCCCCTAGGCCAGTGATGGTGAACCTTTTAGAGACCGAGTGCCCAAACTGCGACCCAAAACCCACTTATTTATCGCAAGGTGCCAACACGGCAATTTAACCTGAATACTGAGGTTTTACTTTAGAAAAAACAACTCATATATTAACTTAAGATGACCCAAACAAAGTAAGGAAAGCAATCCCAAATGCTTTCATTGACTTAAAATTATTTGGCAAAGAATTCGACACTTTAATGATGGTCTGGGCCTGGCTGGGGCGATGGCACACGTGCCCACAGAGAGGGCTCTGAGTGCCACCTCTGGCACCCGTGCCATAGGTTCGCCACCACTGCCCTAGGTGGTGTCTGGCCACTGAGTGGTTGCAGAGGCTACAATGGGTCATGTCACTCCCTCTTGGCTGCCTCTGGGTGCCAGAAGTGGGAACTTCCCTTGGACTCGTTGTCCCCTTGTTTGGCAGGCGGCTGCCGGTGACTTTGACACAGTTCAGAGCCCCCTCCAAGTGGGGTATTTTCAGGGTCCCTTTCCCTCCCTTAGGTTTGTCTACCCTTCATCGTTTTAAATTAAATGGCGAATACATACAAAAGCCAACCAAGCTGTGGTGAGCGTTAAAAATGCAGGTGTTCGAGGTACCCAGAACTCTCCTTGCTCTGCCCAGTGCAGAATTCCGTAGGACTTGCAAGCTAGCTTCTTTTTACTGGCATTCGACTTAGTAGCCTAGTTTGCATTTCTTAAGTTTGCAAGGAGGACATGCACACACATATCCTGGGTGCCAGAGTAGGGAGGGGGGAGGTGGTGGTCTGTCTAAACCGCGTGGGAGGGAGGGGGGGCTGGCTGCCTCGCCGGACACCCCCCCCAGCACCTCTTGTGGTCTCCCTGCCTCTGCTGCTGGCTCCGCGTTTGCCCACACCTCTCTCTCTCTCTGCCCTTGCCCCCAGATCCCAACACGGGCTCGAAATCTCAGAAGTCCGTTCCAGACACGCCCGCTGAGAAGGAGCGAGGGTCGTCAGGTGCCGCCGAGCCCAGCAAGGAGATGAACCCAGGTATGCCCAGTGACAGGGAGGCCCTCCTTGCCCGGTCTGTCGCGGTGCGGAGAGCGCAAGAGGCCAGTGACCCCCATGTGCTAACCCGGCAGCCTCCTTCCTGAACACCAGGGCCAGAAGAAATACCGTTTCCTGACGGTATTTTCCGCCTCTCCTGTAGAATGTCCCAGTGAGCATGTCAGGAATGTTTGCTTTGAGGGGCATCTACCCTGTCTGTTCCATAAATAGCTCGATTCGAGTCCAGGAGCACTTTAGAGACCAACGAAATATTCGGGATAGGAACTTTCGCGAGACCTTAGAGGCCAATGAGATTTTCGGCGTACGAGCTTTCAAGAGCGAAACCTCCCTGTGTCGGATACTGAAAGCTCCTGCCCCGAAAATCTTGCTGGCCTCCACGGGGCTGTTGGACTCAAGCCTAGTTTTTCTACCGCAGACCATCCCAGCTACCCTCTGAAACGATTCTCTAAACGTTTGCCGTAGAATAGAGGGAAACGCCGGGCCGGAGGGTAGAAAAGCTCCATGGGAATGGATCTGCCAGTCCCGAGTTCTCTCCCCCTCTGTACCCTCCTGAGCACGGGGAAGCCCACCTTTCCTTTCCTCCACGAACCTACCCTGGGGGGCTTCGGGTACCCCATTTCCCAGGGACCCCGAGTGTCCAGACTCCGAGTCCTGCTGCTCTTTCTCTGCTCTCAGGGGACCCAGGAGTTCCGGCCCTGAGCCGATTGGCTCCACTTAGGAGGCGGAATGTGCAGAGGGGATATGGGCCGTGGCCGGGGAGGGGGGGGCAGGGCTCCTTTCCCTCTGGGCCCAGGCCGGGGTGAGTGGGAGGGGGGGAGGTGGCGGCG